CTACACCAACAAGGTGGACAAGAAGGCCTCCACACCTTATCTCTTGAAGAAGAAGAAAAATGACAAGGTGGTGGCCATCAAGGTGAACAAGCAAGCAAACAATGGGGTCAAACGCTTTTGGGTGCCAAAGGAAATCATTTCCAACATGAAGAGCACCAAGAAGGTTTGGATCCCGAAAGAGAAGTAAGAAGTCCGTCGGTCCTCGGGGAATTTGGAGACTTGGCAAAGTATGGGTGCATTTCATGGGGTGCATCATGATGGATAAAATCATTGCCAAGTGGGTTAGTGGATACTATGAATGTAAATTCCCCTTCCCATGTTAGGTAACTAGATGTTATTACTTTTTAATTGGTACATCTTGCAATTAGATTTTCCTACAATTGGTATCTTTAAGCATCTAGTTACTCTTCATGCCTAGGGTTATATTTGCATGCTTATATCTTTTGTCATGCATACACTAGGTATTTCATATGGTAGGCTTGCTCGGTCTCATTTGTAACCCTTGGAGCAAACCTACATGGTTTAAAATTGCTTAGGAGCACGGCACATAGCTTGTCTTACTATTGTTTATCTAATATGTGCCAAAGTCCAAATTATAGATAATTTTCTCCCAAATATCATCTTTCAAGTGGTATTTTGATTCCAAAATCAATTGTGCATGAGTACTACAAGTATTCCATGTCTCCATGCACAAATTTAGGGGGAGGATCATCTACAAGATGGACGCTTTGAGACTAACACCTTTTTCAAGTTTATCATGTGTGTAGTAGTCTCATTGCAAGGAAAATGGAGTCCCCGAAGAGAAGCATTGTTCTTCAATTGGCATCATCATGTTGATTTCATTTCATATTTATATGCTTTCTCCATGCATTATATAGATTAAACTCTCTTGTGCAACAAATTGCTAATTATGCATATGCTTTGCTTTCTACCATATGTATGCATATATTTAGGGGGAGTTTAGTCTATATAATGCGAGAGTCAAATTTTGTGATCCATTTCTCTCTATACACAAAGGATCATGAAATTTGACCCTCCCTTGTGCTACTAATGTCTTCCTTTTTAGTGTTTGATGCCAAAGGGGGAGAATTTGAAGGACCAAAAGCAAGCATCAAGTTGATGTCTACAAGTGGTAATGGTCCGAGAAAGGGAGGAAAGTGAATTATGGATTAGTATATGTAATGGGAGAATTTTTTTAGAAAGATAGGCTTTAATCCATAATATCACATGGGGACATTTGCAAGGGCAAGACATGCTTTTGAGTAAAGTTTTAATTGGTATCTATCAATTAGTATCATATAACCTTGCCCTTTGCATTGCATCCTAGCAAGTAGATAATTTTTAAATTTAAATTTTTTTTCATTTGCTTGCTTTGGTCGTGTTGTCATCAATCACCAAAAAGGGGGAGATTGTAAGGAAAATGGACCCTTGACCCATTTACTTTGGATTTTGGTGTTTGATGACCAACACAACCAAATTGGACTAATGAATTTGCAAGTGTTTGTTTTGTAGTCCAATAGGGTGCAAGACATGACTTGGACGAAGGCGACATGATGATCTAATAATCAACACCTCAAGCAAGACCTTAGAAGCACAAGAAAAGACCCAAGATGTCAAGCAAAGTCCAAGCATGAAGATAGGAACCAAGCCGTGCGCAAGATTGCGAAGAAACGAGCTCGCAGAGGCGACCGGACGCTGGAAGCGCGACCGAACGCTGGACCGGTGTTTCGGCAGACAGGCGACCGGACGCAAGGACCGGACGCTGGCGGCAACCGACCGAACGCAGGAACGCAGTGTCCGATCGAGTCTGAGAGAGGTTCCAGCGCTGAATCGCGACCGGACGCGCCGCGCAGAAGCGAGCGACGGACGCTGGCAGCGTCCGATCGGTACTTCGCGGTTGCAACGGTCGGGACGACCGGACGCGTCCGGTCAGGACGATTCAGCGTTCGGTCAGTAGCAGAATTGCGGGAGTTCGACCCCAACGGCTACTTTCTCAGTGGGGCTTATAAATACAACCCCCAACCGGCCATTTGAATAATAGTGGAGCTGAGGAAACATACCAAGGGTGTTGATACACCATTTTAGTGATCTCCACATGCATAGTGCTTAGTGTTTTATTAGGTGATTAGCATAAGTGCTTTGCGAAGTGCTTAGGTTGATTAGACCACCGCTTATGCGCTTGCTCTAGGTGTTTGCCTAGTGTTTAAGTGAGGTTTGCATACCTCTTGTCACCCCGTGCTTGCGAGCACAAGAGTTGTACATCGGAGGGGCTTGAAGTCTTGCGAGATCGCACCAACCGCGCTTTTTGTGGTGTGGTGTGGCCACTGCAAAATCAAGGGAACAAGTCCCATGGCGTTTTGGATTTAAAGCTTGATAGTGTAGACGGCGGAGAGCATCCGGGAGAGGCTTCTTTGGAAGGCACATCGGAGACCCACTTGCACTTGGGGAAGGCCCGAGGCTATCCACGGAGTTACCCGACCGGGAGCTTGGCCCTTGCGAGGGATTCCTTGCGAGGGGCTCCAACGAGGACTAGGGGGAAGCTTGCGTGCTTCTCGATACCTCAGTAAAAATACCGGAGTCGTCGACGGGAGTTTGCATATCTCTACCTTGCTCTTTAAAGCTTCCGCATTTACATTGATCATATTATTATCATTTGCGGTAGAGATAGCAACACACTAGCAAAACCGTAGTTGCACATCTAGATAGATTATCTTTTGCATAGGTTTTGCTAGAGGTAGAAAAAGAGGCCATAGCTTAGAGTTAGATTTTTAAGTTGCCTAATTCACCCCCCCCCTCTCTTAGGCGTCCACGTGTCCTTCAAAGCTCATCTATCAAACTGGCATATTTGGATTGTAGGCTAGCTAGGTTTGACATGTGAACCGCATAGCTATTGCACTCCGTCTCATCTAACATGACTAGAGCCCTAGCAACCTCAAGATCATTAAGAGCAGTCTCTAGCCTAGCCTTAAAGTTGTTCCTCTCATAGACAGCATGCTACAACAAACGATCCTGACTACGCAAGGCGTCGTTCAAGGTGTCTAGCTCTACCACAAGCTCAACGGCGAAACATGGTACCTTGGAGTTGGAGTCGTTGTCATCACCACCCACCATCTCATCACCAAGTGCCATGAAGCAGAATCTATCCTTGGTGGTGTCGGTGAGGAAGCAGAGTTCATTCAGCTTGTCTTGGAGCTTCTTCTTGGACTCATCGTTGCTCGAGGAAGAGGAGTCACTGTCGCTGGAGTCTAGCTCAAGGTCACTGAGGGAGGTGAGGAAGGCGCACTGTTGAGCCTTGGCGTTCTTGATGTACTTCTTCTTGAGCACCTCCTTTCTCATCTTCCTCCCTAGGACTTGTGCTTGTCGGAGGCGTAGTCATGCTTGTCCTTGCCGGAGTCTGACTTGCCCTTGATCTTGGGGTGGTTGGCGATGAAGTGGTCGGGGTCCCCGCACAACAGCCCTGCTTTTATCCACCATGTTGTTGGTTCTTGTGGTTGTCGTGAAGTCCACATTTTCAAAATGTTTTTCAAAATTTTTCACTTGGTTCTTACCACGTCACTAAGTCTAATGCACATGCATTGTTAGTCCTCGTCTAATGACACTAGATAACCATAATCACATTAAAACTTCCCTTTTTACATTACAATTATAACCCGATCATGTACTCTATTGCACCTTGGTCATTCAAAAGCAAAGCCCTATTCATATACATTGTCATTAGGGTTTGCTTTCCATCTCCTCATAAGGCTGCTCAAACATGTGGGTAATAGAATTGTGGTACATGCCTTTGGGTGACAACTTACGCTCTTTGTGTCAACCTCTTTCGTCTAGTCCATGTGCTCATGCTCCCTTTGTGCCTTAATGTTGTACATGCATATCCCAAAGATAGAGCAAATGATCTTTATAGCCATGAAACCAAAGCCCTTGTGTGGATGTTTTATAGGTGGATTGTGAATTTATAATCATGCGTATAACTTTAGGTAGGTAGCACTTAAAGACTTACTCTCTCTGTCCTTTTTAATTATAGTCATGCGTATAACTTTAGATAGCTAGCAAAGACTTATTCTCTCTATTCTTTTTAAGTGACGCTACAGTATTCGTGCTAGTTTGATTAGGTTTGTAGAAAATATTAGCAATATTTATCTCTAAATAAGTTTTTTCTGAAAATAGATTCAACAATTCATCTAATGATACTAATTATATATCATGAATATTAATATTTTCTTGTATATATTTGATTAAAGTTGAGTAAATTTAACTTTTTAGAAAGTGAAAATGACAGTTAAAAGGGAAGAAAATGAGTAGGTTTTGACTGTTCGAACAATTCAATTCCCTGTATTCCATCGTCATTAGACAAGTGAAAGTATTGCCCATTTCACAATGTGATGCTCTATCCTGTTCCGTCATTAGACAAATGAAAGAAATTATTCTCTATTTCACAGCAAAAAAAAAAAAGAAAAAAAAAATCTCGCCGACTAGCAAATTTATAGCCGTACGTCGACTAGTAAATTTATTTCCCTGTGCCGTCTGCGTGGCTTCAAACGGTACTGACTCAGAATTTTGGTTCCGTCCGCATGCCCGACGTCTAATCCGAGTGGTGCTCAATCGTGTTCCATCATTAGACAATGATGAAAATCATTCTCTATTTCACGTCACGAGACCAAAAAAAAAAAGACTAATCGCTCAACAAAAAAAGTCACAATTCGCTCGAGAAAAAAACTCGCAATTAGCAGGAAACGATACCAGACTAATCGAGACTCCAGAATAATCCAAAATAAACAGCCGACAAGACATCTATTTCTACTAACATGTTCATGCTCAACAAAAGAAGACAAAAGTAGAGTTTGTCAACAAGTCCGGCTCCCACTAACATGTGGGAACTTATTGCTCGATCACAGCTTTAGTAGAGTTCAATCCACAGGTATGTGGAGGGCGCCATAATCTGTTATCAGAAAACTCGTGCAGACTGAAGCAGTGTTCCTGAGTCCAAGCATCACTAAAGCTTAGTAGGGCTCCACAGGTGCACGGAATTTGGCACCAGCGTAGACAGCAGCAGCACCAAGCTCTTCCTCGATCCTAAGAAGCTGTTTCAATCAAACATGTTAGTAAAACGAAACTACTCTCAAATTATACAAGAGCAGTACAAGTGAGGTATTAAATGAATGCAAAAGAAATAGCATTGACTGTTCAAAATGACCAAGCATTGAAACTGTTCAAATGAACCAATTTTGTGAATGACACCGACCACAATCGAACATAGAACAAGACAAATGTGTGACATTTTGACAAATGTTGCTACAAAAATAAGTTTTGAATGTAGCTACAAAAATAAGTTTTGATACTTGCCTGGTTGTACTTAGCAAGACGTTCTGATCGACAGGGAGCCCCTGTCTTGATCTGGCCCTGTTTTAGAAAGATATAGATACATTAAGCCTTACCATTAAAAAAAATCAATGTATCTTGAACAGATAAAGTCATTGTAGCTTCGTTAGATAGATACATACCTTTTGCCACGTACCTAAATATATATTATGTCTAGATACATAGTAAAAATTATATATCTAAAAAAGTCATACGACTTGCAATTTGAAACAGATGGAGTAGCAATTATCTAATACCACTATTGTGCTGGATATACCCAGATTATTAATCTTACCGTGGCCAAGCCAACTGCCAAATCAGCAATGAATGTATCCTCAGTCTCACCACTGATCAAAGTGAAACCAACAAACTAACATCAGAATGATACTAAGTCAACATCAGACATGAACAGTGCCACATCAGCTATATGCATACCTCCTGTGACTGGTCATCACACCCCAGCCAGCATGCTTTGACATCTTCACTGCCTCGATACTCTCAGTCACAGATCCAATTTGGTTAACCTGAAAACACGAAGAACATATCAGTGTTTAGACAAGTGCTAAAACATGTGTAGAGCACAGAAAAAAATGATGGGCATGGTAAATACCTTGAGCAAAAGAGCATTGCATGACTTCTCCGAGATGGCCTTTGCAACCCTCTAAAAAAACATGGAATTATTAATAATTATAAACTGCCCAACAAAATTGAAATTTGATCATCTCATGAAAAACAAAAACAAGACACTTACAGTGGGGTTGGTGACAAGGAGATCATCACCAACAATCTGCACTTGATCCCCAATTTCTTCAGTCATCTTAGCATAGTGAACCCAATCATCCTGATCAAATGGATCTTCAATCGAAACAATGGGGTATTCACTAACAAACGACTTGTATACATTCTTCAAGCTGTCTCCAGATATCTTCTGAGAACCATCATTGTTCTAGAACAAAAGAAAATATAATTACAAACAGAAACCAGATCAACTAAGTTCATAAAACATACAAAGTGGAAAAGTGAGACTACCTCCTCCTTGAAGTTGAGGTCATATGTCTTGTCCTTGTCGTTGAAGAACTCAGAAGCAGCAACATCCATTCCAATGACAACCTAATATTCAGACATTAAAAAAAAATGAGCACACCACAAATTCAAAAACACAATAGTAAATAATTCAAGCAGACTAACCTTTCCGGTGTAGAGCACACCACAACTTTAACATTCAAAAACACAATAGTAAATAATTCAAGCAGACCAACCTTTCCGGTGTATCCAGCCTTCTCAATTGCAGTCTTTAGGAGCTCAAGTCCTTCCTTGTTTTCCTACAAGTGAGGAAAGGGAATATATTAAAGTCTGGCTAAGAACATTAATTCTAGTTTTAGTAAACCTACAAAAAAAAAGTGTCCTGATGCTTAGTAGCTTCAAGACATCTTGAGGAGAAAATAAGGATCCCACACACTAAAGACCAGGAGGAAACCTGAATGTTTGGAGCAAAACCACCCTCATCACCAACATTGGTGGCATCCTGCCCATACTTCTTCTTGATAACAGACTGCAGAAAATAAATACAGATATATAAATTTTATATAACTGACAGTCTGAAAAGACAAGAACCAAATGGGTACATGAGAAATATGAGAGAAATGCCTTGAGGTGGTGGTAAACTTCAACACCCATCTTCATAGCCTCCTTGAATGAGGCAGCTCCAGTAGGCAGGATCATGAACTCCTGTATATATAAGGAGCATAAATAACATTGCAGACGAATATAACAAGATAGTATCAAATTAAGTTCAAAGTTTGCCTGCATAGCAAGCTTGTTTCCAGCATGGGAACCACCATTGATGACATTAAATGCAGGGACAGGCAAAACTAATTGGTTGTTTCCAGCAAGATTTGCGATGTGCTGCAATAAAAAGCATATTCAGATTCGTGAGAATATGTATATTTGAAAGTAAAATAAACTAAGCCTTAAGGCTAACAAGCTACAAACCTGGTACAGAGGAATTTTCTTGATGCTAGCACCAGCTTTGCAAACAGCTAACGACACAGCCAAGATGGCATTGGCACCAAGCTGAATACATCAGAAAGCAGAAGTAATAACAAAATTGTTACAGATCCATTTTGCAAATAAAATATTAGAATGATTTCGTATACAATGGTATCAACTCTCATGTATTAGGTAATACCTTTTGCTTGCACCATCCCCACTCATTCTTAGTGCCATCAAGCTGCTGAACCATAAAATTGTCAATCTCGGTCTGAGCTGTAGGGTCCTGCAGAACAAACAGAACAGGCAATTAATAATATACACCTAATCTCAAATTATAACAGAACCATCGGATAGTAGGATAACAGGACACGAACCTTGCCAATAAGAGCAGGTCCAATGATAGAGTTCACATTGTTAACAGCCTGAGACATGCAAAGAACGTGAACATATAGAATAAATCAATTAAGCCCGTGAAATATATTATCCATCTATCCTAATTGTGTCAAAAGGCATCAATACATTATGTTGCAGTTACAAGTGATGTTACACAATCCATTAAATTTAGGATTAGCTGATTCATCTTCAACATGTGTGGCACAGATTCAGCAAGTTGCTCTCTATTTGAGTTAATAAAGTGACAAGCCACAACAATGGATTTACACCATTAACCTAGACTAGTTGAATTTGTGCAGATTTTGAATGTGATTATTTTTTATTATTTTGCAGTGTTTTAAATAGCGGGCCATAGCGGAGCTATAACAGCGCTATAGCAGCTTAGGACTGCTACAACACCATTATGCTAAAATAGCGGGCTATATCGGCTAAGCCGACCTCTTCACTAAATGCCATTGCCCATGATTAAAAGCACTGTTATTTTGTTAGAAAGAAAGATAGAATCTAAGTGTATGTAGAAAGGTATGGCCAAGATTGGATAACTCTACTCTCCGACATGGAAAACAAAAAAGGAAAGAAGATATTTTAGTTCAGAAAATGGAAAACAGAGTGTCCAAGTTGATGTCCAAAAAGAATTTAGAAGAGACCTTATTGTACAGCAAACACAAGTAGCATTCAGATAAAAACATACATTAGTGCAGACATCGTCCATCATACATAAAACTTCAATGCTGCCAAAATGTACGTCAAACTATACTAAAGTGCAACAAAGGCATAGAACATCTTTAATAAATAGCCAGAAATAGAGATATAGTTGTATCTTAGATGAGAAAAATAGCAAACGCACCTGCATACATATACTCCCTACGGTCCAGTTTATAAGGCGTAGTCTGACATGACAGTCTCCTAAATAACACTTTGACCATTCATTTATTTTATACTATATTGTTTATGATTTATAAACTTATGATTATTGGCTGGTACATTTGATTACAAATCTAATAGTATCAAGTTTGTATAACAATAATTAAAATTATTGGTCAAAGATTATAAACTTTGACTCTTGATGTACGCGAAATGCCTTATAAGCTGGAACGGAGGGAGTAACTTATAAGAAATTACAGTGACTGAATGACAAGCATGACAGGAAACAATCAAGCTACCTATGAATGTTTAGAGTTTTTATAAAATGTAACTACCAAATCCATGAAAATGAAGGTAATAACAAATAACATGCAAGCCTTAAAAGTAAACCTTAGAAACTCCCTTGCCCAGGTAGTCAGATCCACCATCCCTCAACTCAAGAGCTTCATAAACACCTGTGAATAGGATAGATGGAATAAAGGTTTTCATCTTTACCCATGAACCATGGACCATGGTACAGGATATGCATAATATAACAACTATGTATTCACTATAACCCACCAGTTGATGCACCGCTGGGAACAGCAGCCCGTGCAAAGGTTCCATCTGAGCAGCACACATCGACCTGAGGCATACAAAATTTAACCTACCTGATCACAACGTTTACATAAAAAAGAACAAGTGAAGAAGTTCAAATGTATGACCAATCAGACAATCCATACAAAATCATAAGGGATCAACCAATAAAAGTCCTAACTCCTAATAACATGGCAATTCAGACTACGTATGCACAACGTGTAACCAAATGAACATTAATAACTGTAAATTCAATTTGACACAAACAATAATTGAAGTATGACCTACTGATTTGTTCTCTAATAAATCCTGCAAAATACTGACTATGCAGCAGAGCATAGATCAACAAAATTATGCAGGGATCTTAAAGTTGCATTAAATCTTGATCTAGAGGCTTAAACCGGCCAAAAATGCTAAACATCACACTAAGGGCCAACGAGCGCAGATCATACAAGCACAAAAGAAGTATAGTCAAAACCTAACATTACATTCCTCAGTTTGCCAAAAATCCCCAAAACCTCACTAAAACCTCCAACTCGCCTCGCACGACAAACTGAACAAAGAAACCAACAAAGCTTCCACCCCATGCGAGATAGATTGCGCCACAGCACATCGCTACCAGACCAGATCGGAGCATCAGAGGGCGCGCGCGCGGAAGAGGGACGGTTAGCGGTCCACAGCCCGTACCTCAACGGTGGGGTTGCCGCGGCTGTCAAAGATCTGGCGCGCCTTCACGGACTGGATCGTTGCCATCGCCGAACGGGCTCGGGAAGAATCTTCGGTCTATATCTAGCGGCGGAGGCGGAGAAGGCGAGCGAGATTCGAACAGGGCTGCTTGGAACTTGGATGGGATCGATGAGGGCAGGCGGCCGCCAAAGTTTATAAGCTGGACGGGGGGGTAGTGCCCGATGCGATGCGGGGTGCGGCCCTGGTTTCTACGCGCACATCGAAATTAAGGGGTAGGTTCTGTACAGTGTCAATGCAAGTGGGCCAACAAGAATGTCCTTGTTGGATGACCCACGTGGACGCGTCCCGAGCTGTCAGGTGGACAGTTGCGGAAATCTGCGGGCGTGAGGCGGCGGCGCACCGCACACACCAGCTCTCCCGGCCGCTGAATCTGCAGTTTTGGTTTTCTCAGCTCTCACTCAACTTTTGAGAGCTCGTTTGGTACTTCCTAAGATCACAGCTATAAAAAGTTTTGACTTTTCCTATGTATATCCATAGCAAAAATATGTAACTTCATATAGCGCCTGGAATTGGCGTAAAGAGAACGCTTCAACCACTGTTCCGTTTACTGTTCGTCAATCAGCCATCTCCACGTGCCTCGTGCGTGTGCTCGCCTGCATTTGCTCTCTCAGGGTTCATTCAGGCCCGCACATCTACAGCCTTTATTAGACAAAAAAAAACTAGCAACGCCTCGAAGCCTCCGCGTCGTCTTCTTTCACTCCCCCAAAGCCCCAAAGAAAATCCGCGCCTCGCCGCCTCCGCCTCTCCTCTCGATCCTACTCTTCCTCTCCCAAGAATCAGCGTGCCGGATGCCGCGCGCCACCACCTCGCCATCGCCACCTCGCGTGTTCCATCCTTGCAAGACCGGATCCCCTGACGCCTTTGCCACCGCTCTGCCTCCACAACATGAAAGCAGAATGGTGCCCCGTCGCCTCATCGCCGTCGTGCATTGTTGTAATCAGTGGCCCGTTGTTACTACGCATCGGTCGCCTCTCTATCTTCCTCCCCTAGATGGAGCAGCAGTCGGCTCCACATCCAACCTCCTCGCCTTCGCCAACCAAGGTACTCTCCCCCTCTCTCTAATTTGGTTTGGCCTGTCTCTGATTCCTCCTCTTTGGGTGGACAACGATTCGAGGTGATAGCCATCCTTTGTAGCACACCGGACGTCCCCAATGAGGTGTTTGGAGGAAAAAGAAATCGAGGGCACCATCACATCACTGCCGTGACGTCCGATTCTTGACTGGCACAGTCACGGAGGGCGATATCCTCCACGTTATTAGCGACTATTTCGGTGAACAACTACAACACGATGTCTTCTATTCCTTTACATGAGTGCTACTTCAAACCACGTATCTACATGTGAAATCTGCGAGGCTCCTAATGCGGGTGGGCGGGACAGAGGAAACTTTTTGGCAGCCTTCCTCACACGCCATCAATGTGTTTTTTCAAATTTAGGCCATGTCAATTTGCTATTTTACGGGACATGGGTGGCCAACCTTTGTTTATGTTGTTGTATTCTCTATCTTGCAGAAATAAAATTTAACCAATATGTTTTTCCTAAAAAAAAGTTTGGTCTGCTTGTGTGTTTTGAACTTTCATTTTGATGATGCTTCATATCTGCATGTTTGATTCAGTTTTCAATACATTTCAGGGGTTGTCAGTGTTGGTGACGATATTTTGAGTTCTGATGGCAATCCATGGCCCAGTGCCTCCATGCTACAAGCTTAATTAGAGCCTACATATTAAGGATTTGTCAGCAGAAATTTAGACATCAACAGTCTCCACGGTACATGCTTAATCTAAAGCCCACATATTAAAGATTTGACAAACAATATAAATTTCCATATTCACATACATTGCGGATATGACCAAGCATCTCTTTTCCCAATTAATTCCTACTTGCATAGCACATAATTATCTCCAATATTTTAGCAAATAATGGTTTCATCTGATTTCCTAGGTTGTGTCGATTGATTTTTTGCTTATGTACAACTCATCCATATGGTATGCAAGCCATCTTGCTACCAGTTACCTGCTCGGTCCATTGCTTCATGGTCTAACTTTGCCTGTTTAAAATCTCTGCAAAATATATTTTTGTGCTAGCACCTGTTGTTCAGCAAATTTGCACGTCAAACTCTTGCAATTTTGATTTTGTGCCTTCCTGCTTACCTCTATTGGATAGTTAGTATTCGATGAACAACAGTTCGGGGTAAGTAACATTTTCCTGTTGTATATGTTGTAATTGTCGATCATGCATTTCTTAAATCTTTAACATAGGTTGCCAATTTTTGTGGTTACGCTCTTGGTTTATCTGATCCAAATGATTATTCAGTAAAAGGAAGACTTTTCCTTTTTTCTGTTTTTGATGCACCTGATATAGCTACATATCTGGCCTGTAGTAGTCTGAGATAACCTATGTAGTTTTGTATTACCAAAGTACTCAGCAGAAAGATAGTTCTGTGTTGGACAATTGTACATCATTTTTCCAAGGAAGGGTGTGGCCTCAAATGGCATCTACAATATTGCTGCCAAGCCAAACGCTACTTGCATCAGGCATCGTCATGCCTTCCTATGGTACTACATTTACCGCACTTTATATTCATTTTTACATTACGAGCAAATATAATTTATCTCATAACACCTTATGATACATTTTAATTAGAATTAGTTACTATAAATTCTGTCATGGATCTAGTCAGAAATGAGCAGGTTATCAACCATGCATTTTTTTGGGCATGGAGCAAGGTGCATGACCCTTTTTTGTCCAACTAATATAAAAGAAATTTTAAAAACACATAGTGGTTTGGTTTCTCATTCACTAATCTAATAATTATGGTGCTTCTGCTTTGTGCCTCATTAGGAATAAATCGACATGGATATTGACTAGTGTACACACTCATTTTAGGAATTGATTAGATGCAATTTAATGTAATAGCATTAGTGAGTGACTGTGGAATCCAATCCTTGAGAAAAGGTACAGTTTGTGTGCTATGACCGATTCGAGTTATCATTGACTCATTCTTTCTCTTTTATGAAACCGTTCTTACAACGCTAACCTTTTTTCCTTGAATAGTGAAAGAAATTTCTGCAGACTAACCTCATTAACATGGTACTCAATTTTGCACATGAGAGGATACAAGTCATTGTCGATGGGACACGGAACTAATGGCTTACTAGGTCGCTTGATGAAGAATAGACACGGTCTTATATAATGTTTTTGCCAACACTCAGTCCAAGAGTAACCACATTTCCTGTAATTTTCATCTAAATTATACAATGAACTAATGTCTCTGTAGTTTATTTATGTTTAATTTAGTGTTCTGCATTGCAAATTTTATTTTCTACTGTTTTGTACGCCACCCTATTGTATCGCTGGGACTATATAAATATAGTCAATTATTCATGATGGTTGTGTAAAGCATAGATGAATTAGTCTTATCACATATATAGTCAAGTGCTTAATCGGTCTTGCATGCACATTTGAACAGCCTGCTAGCTTCCGCTTGCTGCCATTAGCGCGAAGCCAAAAAGGGCGCGGCGAAGCGCGCCCACCGTCCTAGTTGTATACATGGCACGTTTTTTTCTCGACCATGTAGGTGGCACGTTTTAAGAAGTGGAGTATCAAGACGACAACAATGGTAATCGGAAATTATCATCAGAAAAACCGACCAACATGCAAAGCAATAAAAAGGATTACAAAATGATCAACAAGCGATCCAAAATAGCTTGCTCTCCTGTGCAAACACTCATGGGAGAAAAGGCCCCACAGCGACCTAAGATGCTGATATCGTACATGATATCTCTCAATAGCTCAACACCCGAGGACACCCGGATACCCACGGCAGACTATATGGGCTGGGCCACCCCTGTCTCGCAAGACACCGAGAAAATATCCTGAAGATACTACGAGATCTGTTAGGATACGTATGATCCCATGATTCCTGTAATCTGTTATTATTTTTCAGTTATCTCCTAGATCTAACCGACTTTAACTTAGCCCCCCAGACTATATAAGACGGGTAGGGACCCCCTCCAAACTAACGCAATATCATACGATAGCCAATACAATCCAACAGATAACAGGAGTAGGGTATTACGTCATGCTGACAGCCTGAACCTATCTAACTCGTGTGTCTCTGTTGCCTTCTTGTTCTCGATTACACGCATCTCTGCCGGTCAATCTACCTTCGTGGGATACCTCTCGGAGGACTGTCGACAGTTGGCGCGCCAGGTAGGGGTGTGCGTGCTATTTCCATATCGAACAAGATGGTACGTTTTGCAGACTCTTCGTCCCTCCCACAGTCCGGCCAGATCTTCATGGTTGGATCGATCTCCTGGATCATCAACGCTAACGGAGTTGGAGAGCTCATTGAGTCGGTGCAGATCGATTCTGCGCCGATCACCCCAACATCTGCGACTGCAGATCCAATCTCAGAACCGCCTCCGAGGTCGTCTTCATCGACAATTCCCCGCCCGCTCCCCCGCTACCCGAGGAGGCAAATCAACAACGATGATCTGATCGGATCCATCGACCAGGTTGGCCAGAAACTCACCGATTGCCTCTCCATCGTGGAATCGGCTCTGACCACTCTGGTTCAGCGCCGACCATCGTCTGATTCAGATCTATCGGAGGCTGATCAGGAAACGCCAAGGGTTATGGCCCTGCCTTTTGGTCTCACCAGCGTCGTCGCCACCTATCAAGATGCCGTAAGGGTTAAATTTGTCAACTAGGTTGGAGATATCCATTCTCTCGCCGACCAGATCTCGCCGATTGTCAACATGCTACATGTTAGTCAACGCCCCACAGCGTCCCTCCAAACCATCCTGTAGGAAAATCCAGACTCCGAGTCCTAGGGCTCTACGGAGACTCTCGCTGAAACCACCGCCGTACAACCTCCTTTCCCACCCTTCTGTGGAGGCAGAATTTTCAATGTCAGCGTCGATAGCCCCCCACGGGACAGGGAAACCGAGGAGGACCGCACCGCTCGTGTCAACAGGAACGTCAACTGTGTGCAGCGCCGAGCAAA